TATTTAAACTATAATATTAAAATAAAAATCTATAACCCAAAAACAATAATTATAAAAAGGTTGTTACTAAAAAAACATTTTTTCATTTCTTTATATTTGGCATGTTTTTTAATTCTAAAGTTAAAATTTGATTAATTGGACTCAAAAACATAGCTAAAAAAGGTTTAGTACACGGAGAGAAATAGATGGTACGGGGTACTATCTAGATAGTACCAGGTACCATATTTGATCTTACATATACGGACAGCTATCTAGATTCTATCAGTTACTATCCAGATTGTACGGAGTAACATTTTGATTGTAGTGGGTAACATAACCATACTTTTTGTAACATCTTTGATAGTACCGAGTAGCATAATTATAGTACCGGATAACATCTACTTTTTACCATCTTAAGATCATAAGTTCTTACCATCTATTTCTCTCCGTGTAAAATATAACAGAAATTAAATTTTAAAAATTTGATTTTTGGAATTTTTCTTCACAATTTTAAATCTATCAGTTATTTTCTCAATTTTAAGGCAAAAATGCGATTAATTAACCTCAAAAAACTTCTAAAAAAAAGTCTAGTAAAAATAAGCTAAAAAATAAAAAATTTTAAAATTTCGATTTTTACAAAAAGTGCCATAACTTCCGTTCAAGTTAATATTTTTTAATGGGGTATGGCTAAGATTTTAAGTTAGTCTAATACCTTAAAGACTGCCAAGTTTCACTTAAATCGGTCAAGCCGTTTATGCGTGATTGGCGAACAAAATATTGTGCAGACAGACAGAATTTTTTTTAATGCTATTTTTAGAATCCTTATGACTTGAAACGAAGAATTATACATGAATTTTTAAGTTCTAAGCAATGTACAGACAAAAGTCTAATTTTATTAATATAGATTAGTCAACACTCTAAATCTGAATCAGTGACAATTTCACTGAATTCAAATCAGTGGCTCAGTTTTCTTTAATTCACCAGTGCGGAATTTCACTGTGAGAATCAGTGGTTTTTACTGATTCCCAGTGAAATTCCACTGGTGAATTAAAGAAAACTGAGCCACTGATTTGAATTTAGTGAAATTTTCACTGATTCAGATTTAGAGTGTAAGCTTTCCATTGCGACAGTTGAAAAAAAGAAAAAACAATCCTATTCTGCGATAATATGCAAATTAAAACTTTGACCATGATTTCCAAGGCCAAATTTATTTATTTTTAAATATTTTATCAAATACAACAATATTTGATATTTAGACTTTCACTATATCCATTTTTTGTCGAAATTTTAACTAAATTCGATAACTTAAAACTTTTTAACTCAAGACACTTCGGGAATTTTGACCCATATTTATATATATGTTAAGATGAAATTTTCTTCTCAAATATATATATGTATATAGCGAAATGCTGTTTTTTTCCCATTAATTTTCTCTTCCGTGCGCGTTCTCATTTTATACTCCAGTAGTAGAACAACCTGTTCTTCCCTCGCGTGTGTTCTTCCTCCTTTTATAACAAAAGGCATATATAAAAGTATCACGGAAGAGGAGAGCTGAATCCATAAATAGTAAATGAGCAATTAACAAAAAAGGCATATCATTTTATGCGAACCGCTTCGCTTAACAAACATATTTATCAATCATTAAATTTCTAATATCTATAGTTTTGCGATACGATGCTACCGCAAGTTTTCTCTCTCTCTCTCTCTTTATATATTTATTTTGCCGTTAGATAATTTATAATCGTGTCATGTTTTGCGACGGCTTAGGATTATTTATACTTGGCACGTTGGTTGGATAAAAGTCGCTGTTTTTTTTTTTCTTTTTCCACGAACAAAGGGATTTTTGTGTGTGTATCTGTGGGGTCATGATATTCGACTGTTGCCGGAAGCCATAAGGCTAATAAAGAAAAAAATTACAAAAGAAATACAAGGGAGATATGGTTTACTTTCCTTTAAAACGTACACATAAAAAAAAATTCCTTTCTTGTAAATTGTTATACCACGTTCTACTATTTAATACCTTTTTGTCCAACAACGGAAAAACATAAGTGATATGTAAATATATACGTGTCACATATATATATATATATATATATATAGATTTCGTAGGGCCGAATAGGAAATAATTAAAATCGATAAAAAAAAACGATAAATATAAAATTTAAATTGTAATTTTGTAAATATAGAAAGTTTCTCTCAGTATTATAAGAAATATAGTGTAAAATCTGTCACCCGAGGGAAGAAAATAAATTCCAATTTAGTTGAAATAATATATTTCTTTGAATGACCCTATAAAATGAAATGAAGAAACATTAAAGAAGTTTTAAATCTACAATCTAATCTTTGAACATGATGTTTAAGAGTTCTCAAGTTACGCCAATGATGTTTTAAATTATGTTGAGGTGCGATATCCCCTTTAACTTTAAATTCCTAACATCCTGTGGGTGGCAAACCTTGGAGCAAGTTTTCTCATGTGTGCTTTAATATCGCACCGAGCCTATCTAATAGGCCTAGGAAATGCTTTTGTATATTACCAAGAACACCTACTAAAGTATATTTAGACCGATATACATTTACAAATATACATGTAGGAGATCGTATTTTCATATAACTTATTGCGACTATAGATTATTATTACTTATCTTTATTATACTTATTTAATTATCTTGAGAATTTCTCCACGAGAAAATTGCGCGTATTTCATAATAATGCAAAATTATAATCATATATTATAATCTCCATCAGTTAATAACTTCATTAAAATTATTTTTTTATACAAAAAATTTTTAACAAGAAAATTTTATTTTTTCCTATTGTTTTTTTTTTGGAATTTTATAGTCTTCTGTTATAATACATAGATATGTACTTATTGTAATGATTACTATAAAGTATATAATTTATGATAAATATATATACAAGAAAATATATAGATCAGATTAGCAATATTATTAGAGAACCATTTCTGGTTCAAGATTTACTGTACTGTATAATAAAAAAAAAAAAAGTGAAATTTAACTAACCTATCCATCTCAAATATTTATATCTTGACCTACAATAACCCAAAATTGGCACCGAATCTATACGATAAATGCAACTATTTTTTGCTTACGTTTATTGTTAACGTCGGTGACGTTCACAACGTTTATGATCAACGATTTATAAGAAAAAATATCTTTGCAAATTATATTTTTTTTGTCTAAAAAAATTTTTCAAACATTTTTTCGGGGCGCATAATTATTCCATAAAAATCATTCATTAAAATTTTTCATTTTAAAGAATTTTATTAGATATATAATTATTTTTTAGACTTCCACTTGCGGCTATATTCAGAGTCTTGAAAAGAACATAACCTCAAAATTTAGCTCATTTTTGGCGAAAAATTCGAAGAGAGAGAGGAGGGGAGGGTGAAGGACTTGCAGCTAAATTCTGAGTCTTGAAACGAACATAACCTCAAAATTTAGGTCAAAATTCAGAGTCTTGAAACAACGGCGGCGGCGATATCTTTTTGTAATATAGGTAGATAATTATTTTTTAGACCAATTTTCATTTTTTGAATTAACATTTGACAGAATTTCTTTTTAAACAAATTTTTATTTGACAGAATTCTTATGTATCAAATTTATATATTGTACAGAATTCTTAAAATGCCTAATTTTTATTATTTCGAAATTGCAAATGACCGAACAAACAATTGACAGAAAGATTTTGACGCGATTTTTAAAATCCATCAATCACGATTTTCTTGACAACTTTTGATTGGTGAATTTTATACATCGCGCCGAAGTCTTTCTCTCGATTGTTTCTTCGGCTATTTGAAATTTTGGACAAATAAAAATAAGGCGTTTTAAGAATTCTGTACAATATATTTTGATACATAAGAATTCTGTCAAATAAAAATTTGTTTAAAAAGAAATTCTACTGTCAAATGTCAATTCAAAAAATGAAAATTGGTCTAAAAAATAATTATCTACCTATATTACAAAAAGATATCGCCGCCGCCGTTGTTTCAAGACTCTGAATTTTGACCTAAATTTTGAGGTTATTTTCGTTTCAAGACTCTGAATTTAGCCGCAAGTCCTTCACCCTCCCCTCCTCTCTCTCTCTCACCGAATTTTTCGCCAAAAATGAGCTAGATTTTGAGGTTATGTTCTTTATAAGACACTGAATATAGTCGCAAGTGGAAGTGGCTTTCCCGCTAAAAATGACCTGAATTGCGAGGTTATGTTATTTTGGCGGGAAACGACCAAGAAACAATCATAACCTCAAAATTTAAGCCAAAATTTGGCAAAAACGACCAAGAAACAAACATAACCTCAAAATTTAGGCCAAAATTTGGCGAAAACGACCAAGAAACCAACACAACCTCAAAATTTAGACCAAAATTTGGCGAAAACGACCAAGAAACAAACATAACCTCAAAATTTGGAGGAAAATGACCAAAAAACGAACATAATCTCAAATGTTGGTCAAATTTTAGCAAGAAAATTTACAAAATTCGATAAATTTTCTTTTAAAAATTAAAAATAATAAAAATTATTACTAATAAAAAAATATTAGTTAAATAAAATTTTTTTTTTCAATCGTTGATTATAAACTTCGTGAACTTTAACAACGTTATTTTTTCCAAAAAAAGGCCAAGTGTCGACAAAAAATTTATTTTACGTGTTAATGAAATTATAAAAAAAAAATTTTTTTGCTGAAGGAAATAAAAATTGTATATCCTCTCAGATAAAATGTTTCTTTTTTTTAATTTTTAGTACATGTGAAATAAATTTTTCAGTGACAGTTAACAATAGATGCGCACACAACGTCTCGCCCCTCTCGCCCTAAAAAATCGTCTTCAAGGATAAATTCCTCAAACGGTTTGTAACTAAAAAAAGCGACTGTTGATCTAATCTAAATTTTGAGATTATGTTCTATACCTTTGACTGTTAAAAATGTATCCTATCATTTTTTCAAAACTTATTATCAATATTATTATTATTATTAAAGTTATTTTTTTTTAAAAATTGGAAACTTACTTGGAACGTCTTTGCCGGGAGCACTGCTTAAATCACTCGTAGAACTTCGTACTGAACTGCGAGCAGTTTCCTGATTCGGCGATTTAGTCTCCTGACGACCTCTCCCCCGTCTTTAAAGGTGAAAAAAATGCAATTATTTATTTAATAAAAAATATTACATTTAAAATTAAAAATATTGTTAACTAAAACGAAAGGAGGGAATAAAATTATTCATAAAAAAAAAATTGTAAAACTAAAATTTATATATAGAGGATACATGTTTATAGAAAAAAAAGTAATAATAAAGTAAGTGAGAAATAAATAAAGCAATTGCTATACTTTATGAAATGTAATAAAAAAAAAAAAAAAAAAAAGTTGCATCCTCCAGACTCGATAAACAAGAATACGTTTGGTTGCTAACTTCAAATCATAAATTGCAACATCCGTACGATATCAAAGAAACAGGAATTTTTTTTCAACACGACTCTAAGAGTTTATCTACCACAGAATCTTCCAAGTCAAACTACGCGTGGGCGCAGTATTTCTTGTACTTTAAGTAATCAGTATTCTGATTTCTATGTATTACCTAAGTGAATCTGAACGATTTTATCATTCAACGCGAATGTATGCAATACAAAATAATAAAAAAAAAATAATGCAACAATGTTTTCACGATTTTTTTCGACCTCTCATTTTTTTTCTTTTTCTTTTTCTTTAGCAAAAAAGTGAATTGGTGTTATTTTGACAAAAAAATTTTCGTGACAATAAGCATAATTTTTTTTAGCACATAACAGTTTAAAGATTTAAAAAAATGTAACAATAGTACAAAATTAGATTTTAACAATTATTAAAAAAAAAAAATTTTGTATTAAAATAATAACGATGGTATTATACGAAGCTGAAGTACGGAACGTTTATGATAAATGATTTTTAAAGAAATAATTTTTTAAAATAAAAAGTTCTATAATTTTTTGCCTTAAAAAATATTTTTTTAAATAATTTATTGATTAATAAAAACTAAAATAAATATTTTTTAGGAAAAAAATTATAGAATTCTTCATTTTAAAAAATTATTTCTTTAAAAATCGTTTATCATAAACGTTGCGTACTTCAGCTTCATGGTATTATTACAAAGAATTTTTATATTTTTCAGAGAGTTTGCTGCGAGTTGGATATTTGTCGATATTTTAATATACATATATAAGAATGTAAGACCATTTGTCAAACTGTGAAAATTTTACCCGATCCTTGACAAGACATGTATTTGGTTTTAAAGAAAATATTTGTCTTCTTTGTGTTCCGTGTAAACGAAAATTTTCATTCTTTAGGTATTTTTTGAAAATGTGTAAACGATACAATAAAGTTACTACGGTGAAGAAAATAAAATAAAAAAAAAAGCTATACTGAAAAAAAACATAGTCAACTCGCAGCAAAATTCCTTATATTCATGTGAAATTACTAGAGAAAAATAAAAAAATATTTGAATCTGAAAAAATCAATATAAGTATATTAATAATAATAATTTGTCTCCCTACCGTTTATCTTTATTAGAACCAGCATTATTGTTCGCATCACCACAATTTCTTCTTCCAGATGAAGTTGTGGCATTTGTGAGATTCTGCAAAACTCTGGATTTCACATCCTTTCGCATTACTCTCGCTCTGGCTTCATTTTTACCAGCTTCAATTTTATTCATTACTGCGTCCCATCTACCATTTTTTCTCGGTGTCCTCTGTGGTCTTCTACTTTCTTTACTTTCATCTTTTTGTCCCGATTCGATCATTTCTTTAATTTTCGAAATGACATTACGTTTCGGCATTTTATATTTTTTTACATGCGGCGGATTATCATTTTTATTATTATTATTAATATTATTAATATTATTGTTTGGTTTTGACTGTTGATCATCATCAGTTTCAATTTGACGATTTCGGTTTCTATCGACTTCAATTGTCGTCACCTCCATCGGCATACTTGATTCCATGGAATCATTACTAACTTCCAAAACATTTTTCGAAGTATCCTGAAATTAGATTTATATATAATAATTATATTGAAAAAGAAACTTATAAATTATTAATTAAATATTTATAGGTGATTCTCTAGAAAGTGGTCATTTTCGAAGAAGAACATTTTTTTTTAAAACTGAAGATTTTTTTTTTATTAACTTCTATATTTATTAGTATTAAATATAGTTTTATATTTAAAGTGATCACAGAATTACTATAACAGCAGTGGGAAGATTTTTATCAATAAAATAAGTAAAACGAGAAACGGAAATTAGGTTTTATAATTAACCTAATTTTCATATCGAAGAATTTTTATTTAACTAAATTCTGATTTAATAGAATTTCTATAGAAATTTAGTTAAATATATTTGAGGCATTTCATATGAGAATACGGGGTCATGTCTCGGATTTTTCTCAAAATTCTGTAAATTGTAATGATACTGGTGCTAAATAAATGTACAAATTTTGAATTTGAAATTTTTAATATTTTTCGAGATATTTACAATAACAAATTTGAGCAATATTTTTTTAATATAATTATAACTTTTTTCCTACTAAAAATAGAGAAAAATTTTGTAAATGTTTTTTACGCTAAAGACCTTAAACTTTTGGAAAAAAATTATTTTTTTAAAAAAATATTAATTTTTAAACAATTTATTTAAAAAATAAAATTTGTTTATAACTTTTAAACGTGTTCTCCCTCATTTAGAAACGCGAAAAAAATCATGAATTTTGTTTAAGTCATAATAAATCGATGTTTAAATTTTTGAGATGGCATTATTTTTTGTTTTCGAGATATTAATTAATTAACTAACAAAAGCCTATATGAACTATTTCTGATAAACGGGTGTTAAATTAATAATTAATAATAAAAATTATTAAAATAATTAATAACATTTGAGGAAATGAAAATTAATCGTCAATTCTTTTTTTATTTGGAAGATCATATCTAATTCTGTGTTAAATAAAACCAGTGTAAATAACATTTTTAACAAATCTAAATTATTAACAGATGATTATTGAAAATTGAGATTTCAGTACCCTACGACACAAATTGGAGGGGGCTGCCTACCTACTCGGCATGGTATTTTTTAGTCATTTTCTAAATAACATTTTATAATTAATTTTTGATTCTTGGTAATACTTAATATTCTTTTTTTGACACAGAATTAGATGATCTTCCAAATAAAAAAAGAATTGACGATTTATCTTCATTTCTTCAAATGTTATTACTTATTTAAATAATTTTTATTATTAATTATTAATTTCACACCCGTTTATCCGAAATAGTTCATATAGGGCTCGTTGGATGCGGATTTTGATAAGCATTCTAATGGTGTTTTTAAAAATTACTCTAATTTTATTTGTTCGTCAAATATTTCATTTTTTATTAACTTTTGTTAGTAAATTAATTAATATCTCGAAAACAAAAAATAATGCCATCTCAAAAATTTAAACATCGATTTATTATGACTTAAACAATATTCATGATTTTTTTCGCGTTTCTAAATGAGGGAGAACACGTTTAAAAGTTATAAACAAATTTTATTTTTTAAATAAATTGTTTAACAATTAATATTTTTTTAAAAAAATAATTTTTTTCCAAAAGTTTAAGGTCTTTAGCGTAAAAAACATTTACAAAATTTTTCTCTATTTTTAGTAGGAAAAAATTTATAAGTAAATTCAAAAAATATTGCTCAAATTTGTTATTGTAAATATCTTGAAAAATATTAAAAAATTTCAAATTCAAAATTTGTACACTTATTTAGCACCACTATCACTACAATTTACCGAATTTTGAGAAAAATCCAAGACATGACCCCGTATTCTCATATAAAATGCCTCATTTAACTGAATTTTTACATAGCAAATTTTCTAATACATCGAATTTTCAAAAAACTAGATTAAAAAGAAAAATTTTATTCAAATAATCGGTCACTTGACTATTTATCATATAATTATTATTTGAGTCAATTAAATGGTATTTGTTTTAAATACAGAAATTATTGGTTCAAATACAGTTAATTTCATTCAAATAAAAATTATTTGCTTCAAGTAAATATTTATATTTGATAACAGCCAAGTAACCGATTATTTGAATCAAATAAATTTTTTTTTCAGTATACAATTTTCATAATAATAAATAATAAATAATAAAATAATGTGAAAGTTTTATCGAATAAAAATTCGCCGTTTTCAAATTTCTATCAAATTACTTTTCGGAAAATTGGTAGTTCGGGTCGAATAGAAATTTTCTTTAATGAAAATTTTCTAAAATATTAATTTTCCACAGAAATTCTGTTAAATGTGAAATCAGTTAATGAAAATACTGTTAAGTAAATAATCCCGGTAAGAAAGTGATGATTGAAAAAAATTTTAATATTCACAAATATCGTACAATTCGCAACCATTTCAACTCTATGTTTATGTTTTAATTTCTCTCTAGAGAATTCATCTGAATACATTTATATTTTTTTCAATTTTTGACAAAATTTTTACACATTTTAATTCTGATAAGGTAGTTAGAATTGAAATAAATTTAATTCTGTTTAGTGTTATAAAAGTTTGAAACCAATTGAATTCCCATTACAATGTAATTATACAATTTAATTCATTCTAATAAAAAGGAATTAAAGTACATTAAAATTATTTCAATTAAATTCAAAATTCATAATGATTTTAATCCAAATTAATGTCGTTTTTGAAATTTTTTGGAATCATTTTAATACGTTTTAATCAAAATTCGATGTATTAGAAAATCTGCTTAATAAAGGTTCGGTTAAATAGAAATTCTTCGATATGAAAATTAAGCTAATAATAAAATCCACTTTATGAAATTCCATTTTTTTTTGTCTAAAGCAAATAATGATAAAATGTTTAGACGATATAACACAAAGATGCTCTTTTTTTGAGAATCACCGATAAAAACTAAATAATTTAGTTTTACCTGCAAATAGTTCAATATAATTTGAGCAGGCTCAGGCTTAATATTAGGCGACAGTTGACTCTTTTGAGAAAGTTCAGTGTCAGCAGTATCGGGAGTGCGATCTTCACTGAATATTTCTTCACCATTGGGACGATCATCCTGTCTTTTATCGAGATCAGAATAAATACCACTTGAGTCCATTTCCTCACCCATGAAACTAGGACATATTCTTCCACCGGGCGCACAAAATAATGTTCCATCAATCACTTGTGCTCGTCTGTCGCCTCTTATTATTTCTTCATGTGCATCTGCATCACTTTCAGTGAAGAAATCAGAGTCTGTCATTGGATCTTGTCGACAAGGAGCAACAATAAGATTTGAAGGTGCAACAACTAATGGAAGTTCAGGTCCACGACTTGCTGGTCGTGAATTTTCCCCATCGCCTTGATAGCCAGCTTCAAGACTTGTGATACTTGTTATTGAAGTTATAAAACTCACGGGCAGTACCGATCTCACTGGTTCAGCTGGTTTTGGATCAAGTGGCAATTCTTCAGGTGATGGACTCCTCTCAATTGAATTGGCAATTGGTTCAACGTCAATTGATAATGGTACTTCTGATGGGCGCGATGCCGAATGACGCATTAATTTACCAGCACCTCCTGATCCTGTGAGATTCTCGCAGGATGGCGTTCTTGAACCTTCGAGCGCCACTGTGAAGTCGGGCATTTGATCCGGAGTGAGAATACCCAAACTCTCGTCGTGCTCGAAGGAATTTTGCTTATGAAGCATTAAATAGTGAGGAGGCGCTGACGCTGTTGTACCCACATCTCCAAACGGTACGAGATTATTCACCTCTAGATGGCAATTATTGTCTTCACCTTCATCGAGTCTCTTCAACTGGGGATCCTCGACCAAGCTGAAATATAATTACCCAGTTAAAATTTTATAAAAAAAAAAACAAATATAATTTAATCTCTAAATGTAAATTTGAAATTTGTTCTGCAAAAAAATATCGATACTTTTAATTTTTACTCGAGTCTAGTTTTTGCTAATCTTGATCTCTTTCTTCAGTGAGCATCACATTAAAAAAAAAAATTGTATCTTTTGAAACTTTTTTCAAAGACAAATTTTCTCTTTTAGTTAAAAAAAAAAAATACCAGATTCACCGGATTTAGAAAAAGGTTATCACACGAAATTAAATAAAAATAAAACACACTTACCCAAGAAAGTCCAGCTTCTCATTGCTGAGACATTCCGAACGTTCATCATCATTATTGTCTGCACTCCAGGCGCGAGCAGTATTATACGTTCCATCTGGTTTTCCTGTGAGTGGAAAAGTGTTTATTTTAATAAAAATAAATATTATATAACACTTTTGAAAGAATCGATTTTTTCGAGTTAAAATTGCTCGAAATTAAGTCTCGAAACGTTAAAAAAAATAAGTATTTTTTTAGCCTTAATTTCTACCAATTTTGATTAGAAAAAATCGAAAAAATAAATCTCAATTCACATATTTTTATAAAATAAAAATTGCTTTAATAAATATATATACTTTACTTAAATACTTTATATATAAACGAATAAGTAGCGTTCAGAAGTAAAAAATTTTAGGTTATATTTTGAAATTTAAAAAAAAAATAAATAAATAAAGGGGATTACTCAAAATATTCAATAAAAACTTATTTCGATACAATATAAATAAAAAAAGAACTTTTAATCAAGGTAAAATTGCCGTAAATATAACCTATAATTCGTTTCCTTAGGGATACCAACAACCGGGGCTATTCTACTCACCCAGGGGTTATTATACTCAGCGCCATTTTCAGGCTTTACAACATAATGGAGCATTTACACCTTTGGTAAAAAAATTTTTTACTTTGATTTTCCAAAATGCAAAAATCTGATTGGTTGTCCATTATCAATCAGATTGTGAACAACCAATCAGATTTGTGTATTTCTGAAAATGCAAAATAAAAATTTTTTTTACCAAAGGTGTAAATGCACCATAAGGCCTGAGCAGAATAGAAACGTAATCCTGAATCAAAATAGTAAACGCAACCGGAAGCATAAGTTAGAGAAGGACAAACAATCTATCTATCCTACTCTAACTCATTCTTCCGGTTGCGTTTGCGTTTACGATTCCGGTTACGTTTCTATTCTGCTCAGATCTATAAAATTTGTTTAAAAAAAGGGGTAATAGGGGAAATTTTGTTTGAAAAAAGGAGAAAAATAGGTTAAAATCTAAATGTATATTTTCATTAACCAAAATGCTTTAAAGTTGTTTTAAATTACACTATTGGTGTAAATTTTGAGACATCCCATTTTCTTGATGAATAAAAAACATCTTAAAACATAGAAAGTATAGAACCAAAATTTTTTTCCCAAATTTTTTAAAAGATGATAAATTTATAGAGAAAAGTGAGATTTAAAAGAGAGATTTTCCCAATATAGTTATTAATTTTTTTTTAAATGTCATTTTCAATGTTTTATAAAAATTTGAATTGCATACATCTAATAAATAAACGCTTTTTATTTTTTAAACTTATATTTTAAGGAGGGTGGCGGGTCAACATAACCTCAAAAACCTGTCAAAACTAAAAAATTGTTTTTAACGCAAACAAAAATATAATAAATATTAATTTCAAACAATTTTAGAAAATCTTGATTTACTCCTTTCGAAAAAAATTATTTTTTTCCAAAATATTTTGTGAATAATTATTTTTTAAACATTTTTTTTTTCTTTTAAATCAGACAAAAATTGCAATTTTTAACCAATTTTTATTAACAAAAGCTCATTTTACTCAGTGAAACATTCTCTACAATTGTTCCCTTTTTTATATTATAATAAGTATGTTCTTAAAAAGTTATTTAATAAATAAAATTTTAATTGTTTATAACTTTTTAAGAACATACTTATTATAATATAAAAAAGGTAACAATTGTAGAGAATGTTTCACTGAGTAAAATGAGTTTTTGTTTACAAAAATTTGTTAAAAATTGCAATTTTTGTCTGATTTAAAAGAAAAAAAAACTAAATGTTTAAAAAATAATTATTGACAAAATATTTTGGAAAAAAATCATTTTTTTCGAAAGGAGTAAATCTAGATCTTCTAAAATTGTTTGAAATTAATATTTATTATATTTTTGTTTGCGTTAAAAACAATTTTTTAATTTTGACAGGTTTTTGAGGTTATGTTGACCCGCCATCCTCCTTAAAATTAATTTTTCCCAGAATGAAAATTACATCTAAACTAATTTATTTTTTCTTGAAAAATGCAAGTAATTTTTTATTTTATCAAACCGAAAACCGTCTTGTAAAATATACAAAACTTGATTTTATTCATATTTTTCAAAGAAACTGAAATTTTCAATTTATTTAAGGAAGTTCTCTCCCTCCAACGTCAGTCAAATCAATGCCCATTTAAGTTTTCATTTGTATCACGTAGTACTAGCTCAACGCTTGACAACGTTGGATTATATTTCCCCCGTTCCGATTCGTGTCGTCTGCTATTGTTTGATTTATTTTCGTTAAATAATAATAATTTATTATTTTAAAAATCTTAATTTTTTATAAGCAAATTCAAATTATTATTCATTATTATGAATCTTTGAAGAATATACTATTATATGTATATACTACTTATATTACTTTCAAATTTCGCGCTTTTTCTATACCTAACCTACAAGACGCAACGTTGCCAAGCGTTGTGCTAAGTAATTTCTGATTGTCAAAATACGGTGTTTTTTTAGACAAAATAATTAATTGTGAGTCTCCTAAGCCAGGTCTGATCAATTTTATTAAAAGTAAGTGAACATTGGCTATTAAACTTTATGTATATAAAGTTCCAGTAATATCTTTTCGTCAGATTTTTCACAATTTGAGATTTCAGACCAAAAAATTCAATTTCCCATAAGAACCCGTGTTAAATGTGAAAAGAGAAAATTATTTATATCTTTTGTCAAAATCCACCTAGACCTCTAAAAATTTAACTACATCTTCTTTAAACCATTTTCTATCAGTTTATCAAGTTTGATAATTAACTCTTCGTCATTTCTGTTTGCGAGAGAACTTCCTTAAATTAAATTTTAGAATTAATTTTCTCTAAAAAAAAATTCCAATTTTTCTAATTTGGGTCTTGGATTATGACTTTAGAAAAAGAAAGAAGTCGTTTCAGTCGATTTTCATTACAACAAAAAAGTCACATTTTATAAAAATAAATCGAAATAGTCGCATTCATTGAAAAAAGTCGAAAAAGTCGTACAATCCGAGGCTTGTAATTTTTTGGTGCAAATTGGGATTTTTATTAAATATCTCATTATTTGAGTTTCAACATAAAATAAGGGAAATATAAGTGAAAAAAGGGTAATTTTTAAAATAGAGAAAAAATAGGGGAATATGTGAAACACCGTGAAGACTGCATTTTTTAATTATTAATAAAATATTTAAATTACAATGTTTAAACTTAACGCTTGTTTGACTAAAACTATATAAAAAACCAGTATTTCCTGGGTAATTATACTCATTTCTTAAAATTTATTATTTTTTTAAAATTTTTAGGTAGGTAGAAGGTAATTTTTTATCTTTAAATAATTCACAAAATTTGTACGTTTGCAATTATAATAACATGAATTATAGAAGAAAAATTATATTTACCTTGTGTTGCAGGTGTAGACGCAGCTCTTTTAATATTTTTTACTTTTGGAGTAGTAATGTCTGTCTCGTAGTTGGAAACTTGGGGATAACCGGAAATAATAGCAGAGCGTCTGTGACCTGATGTTAATTTATTCGCTCTTAATTTTGGCAAAAAAGAAGGTCGAACAGCCCTCGGAATTGGAATCCTACTCTCTGCTGTATTCTGTAATGAAAAAAAATATTTTATGAAATAAATACCTATTAGGTTTTAATTTTTTTTTTTATAATAATTTTTCAACTAATATTTTCCTTTTCTTTTAAGAGGATAAAAATGGATAGAAGTCGATGACTCTATTACTTAATTTTTTCTATGAATTATAGATAACTTTTATTAATGTATTAGTAAACAAAAATTTTGATCAGTAAACTTTAACTAATTCATAGCAAAATAATAATAATAATAATAGAAAATAGAAATTTATTATTTTCTTTGTGAAAATGGTAAATTGATATATTATACTAGGTAACTATACTTCTTTGAACAACTTTTCTGAATAAATAAGTATAATTATTTAAGCATTCGAGTATATCTGAGGCACGGACGTTGAAGACCTAGGTGGGAGAAAGTGAGAGAAGGGGTAAAATTTTAGAATTTTACCCTTTCCAAGATGTGACCGTCCAATGGCGCAACTCTTTCTCCCACCTAGGTGCTCAACGTCCGTGCCTCAGATATACTCGAATGCTTAAATTTTTCGTAACCTTGAAAAAATTGCTAATTCAGTGTACTTTTCATTTCATTATAATTGTACTTATTTTTTCATATAATTAGTTAAATAAAGTATAGTTACCAACTTTAATACATTAATTTACTATTTTCATAAAGAAAACGATAAATTTTTATTTTCTACACAAATGAGAAGTGCGAAAAAATGTGCATGGTTTGTTTACATTTCACATGTTGGACATGCCCTTAAATAAAAATATTTATTTAGCGCAAATAAAATTACTTAAATCAAATAAAAATTTATTTAAAACAAATAAATTACAGAAAGAGAACAGTCTTTTTAAATTTAGAACATATCCTTCTAATAATGTATTGTAGAGGAAAATTTGCATCAAATTGAGAGGAATCATCTCAAAGGAAGAGTCTTTTTTTTGGCAGTGAATTTGTATTACTAATGCTATATAGGTGTGTCTATAATTCATCAAAAACAGAAATAAAAATAAAAAAGTGCATTGCCCTTCGCGTTATATATATATATATTTCAAAAAAAAAAATAAAAGTCGAAACACTTTTGGATGGAGATGATGAATGAGTCGCGCCTCCGGACGTTTAGCTAATTCAATCTTTATAGTTTTGTTTCTCAATGTCAAATGAGAGCACATTTTGTAACAGATATTGCTCATTTCATTTAAGAACTCAACATTTCGTTCCGCAAGACTGATTCTTTCAGCGGAAATCGTTTACTGCCTTCAAACAACCATTTCAACGCATTTACATGGGAGTAAAAGTAGCGAACATTCTATACATATATATTTCAAAAAAAAAACAAATAAAAAAAATGCATTAATATCTTTTACACACTCTTTAAAGAAAATTTATACGAAATTTTAAATTATACATACGTGACGCTTCACGGTGGAAGTACTTTAGTTGCAAAAAAAATTTTAGGTTATGTTTGTGACTTTTGGAGTGAAAATACACAAAGAGTATTTATCAACTCTTTAATACAAATTATTGACGTTTAAGTCTTTATTTTTATCCAAAATATTCAATTTAAAAACTTATTTCGATTTTATATAATTAAAAATTAATGTTTAATCAACATTTAGAAAAAAGAATTTTTAATTTAAATATAGAGATGATCTGTTTGAACGATTTTGTTTAATTTGACACACTGAGAAAACTATGCTATTGAATCAATAATTTTTATATTTTAATACACAGATAGCAATCGTGCGTCGCACGTCACGCATTTTACGTGCGGGGCACGCAGTGATGGCTATAATGCATGCATTTCGCCTGCACTTAATAATTATGTGTGAGGGCTAGTTCAGTGCAAGCAAAATGTCTATCATTTCGCTGACATTTACATGCGTGTAACAAAACACTTAGAAAATTTTCGTGAATTTTTGAACTTGAAAATTTTTTGTCGAAAAATGAACTTAAAAACTTTTATTAGTCTAAACTTTCGTTATTTCGACAAAAAATTTTTTATGTACAAAATTTGTCATTTTTTCAAAAAATGTCAAAGTCCACAAAAATTGACGAAATTTTTCTAATTCTAATTTTCTAGGTTTAAAGTGTCATTACTGTGAAAATTTATCTAAGCTTTTGGTAATTTTTTAACGTTAAAATTATTATTATTCTTGTAAAATTGAATTGTAAAAAATTAGTTACCAACTATAAGTTTAAATTAGAAAATTGTTTCTTAAATCTGACTTGTAAATTTTTGGAGCAAAATTATATTTGAAACCATTGTACAAAGAATTTTTTATATTTGCTAAATGTAAAATAATATTTGAGTTACATTTTATTTAAAATTTGTCCATGTTGCTCTCAGGGGCGGTGGAACGGGTCTCAGTGGAGTGTTGAGCTCCCCTCGCCCTGTTTACCATTCCCCCCCCTCCCAACCAATTTAAATTTTCTCATGATTTTGATTTTTTATACAAGTTAGGATTAATAAAAGGATGATATTTAATCTTTATTAGGTTAATATTTTTAGGCCCACATAACATTTTGTAATTACTGTTCGATTGTCGAGTGTTGAATTCAACATATAAAAACATATATATAATAGAATAAAGTCTTCTTTTTTATACACGCATTTTTATTTACTTAACATATTTTAAAATACTGTAATTCAGATATTCATTTAATAGTACATAATATAAATTTTATGAACGGCGCATGCATTTTACCGGCACGCGTGCGACCTGCACACTATGCGTCGCACATGAGGACGCATCTGCGTGCTCTTATGCGTGGCACCCCGTGCGGGTTAATCATTACGCGTGCGAGCGAAATGTTAGGCATTGTGCGCGCATTTTGCCATCTGGGAAATCTTATGGGTTTTATCATTGGCCAAAATTACCCGCAACAAAAGTAACACCAACTTTTTTCTGTGATATTAACTATTTGAATCAAACAAAATTTATGTTTAAATGAAATATATTTTATCAACAAAAATTTATTATTAAATGAAACATAATATGGTTGAACTAAAAATATCGTTTTCTCAGTGACGGTAAAACTATCATTAAACATAACCTAAAATTTTATTGCAACTAAGACCCCTTTCATCGTCAAATATCTACATAAATATTTATATATATATATATATATATATATATATATATAATATATATATATACTATTTGTACAATTTTGTATTGTATTTATAATATGAATACCCTATAATTTCTGTGATTTATTTAATATAGATAATAAATCGAAAGTTAATTAAGAAAAATAAAAAGTGAGAGAAATTTGTTTTTAGTTTGAAAATGAATACATTGTATTGTATTATAATAATTATATATTGTATATACATAATATAATAATTAATTTTGTGAATTAGAAAGTCGACATTTAGTTATATTCTCTTAGCGTGCGACTTATCTCCATATTAAAGAATTATTGCCATTAATTAATTAGATGATAAGCACCTTTCGATAAATGTTGCTTGCATAATTGTATATCATGTCATATGCTAATAAAATATGATGCTACTTCAATAACTATGAAAGCATCTAAAGTTAATTGTTCTCAACTTACAATGCAAGGACAACTACATTCTATATAGCAAAAGAACGCGTAACTATAAAAATACAAATCTCTGTATATACTCTCAAACAAAACTTATTACAAAAAAAAAGAAAAACAATTGTTTTAAGTTAAATAATTGTTTTATTTAATTATAATTGCACTTCAAAACGATTTTGATATGAAATTTATTTCTCAGCAATTATAAAACTCAAAAATTCATTAAATTATTTTTTTTACTCAATTACAATAAAGTAATAATTTTTTTTTTTTATTTAATTATAATAGATTAATTAATAATTAATTTTTCAATTATTATAAATTACTTTTAATTAATTTCCAATTTAACGAAGCATAAATTTAACAAATTTTCATTTTTTGAATCAATTTTTCTATCTCGTCTATATTATATATGACAAAACTAGTAGTTATATGAAGATTCAATTAATGATTTTGCGAAAGTTTCGCGTTTATTGAAAAAGTTGACCTTCGACGTGAAAAAAGTTTTCAGACATGAAAACATTTTTAGAAAATAAAATTAATTGGTGTAAATAATAATAGTTTGTCGACCGCAACCCTGACAGCAACATTTGTATAGCTGACATTGATACCGGTTAGATGATCGCGTGACCATTTCGTCTTAAGTAGGTGCAACAATGTAAGAATGCTTAAGTAGGTAGGTGTTTTAAACTAGCCGCGTTTTTAAATGAGTGATAGTAACTGTTGATTCCTTTCCTTTATATAGGAATATATTTACAATATATATTTGTAACTGTGTTTATAATTATATATTTTTATTTTCTATATTTCATATTTTTGTAAAAATATAATTATTATATAAATAGTAACGAAGCTGATATACGCAACGTTTATATAAACGATTTTTAAAGAAATAATTTTTTAAAATGAAAAATTCTATAATTTTTTGCCTAAAAAATATTTTTTTATAATTTGTTGATTAATGAAAACTACAAGAAATATTTTTTAGGCAAAAAATTATAAAATTTTTCATTTTAAAAAATTATTTCTTTAAAAATCGTTTGTATAAACGTTGCGTACTCCAGTTTCGTTAAATAGTAAAGGGGAGTGACCAATTAATCAAGGATCTTTTAGTCTAAAAAAGTTATTAACAATTAAAAAGGATCATTCTACAGAGACGTATGATTATTTTCTAAAAATCATTAATTAGAATTTTAATTTTATGGAATTTTATTTGTCATCATTATTTTTGAGCCGAATTTTTATTTATTCGAATTACTATTTTGCAGAATTTTCATTAAAACGATTTTCTATATTACAAAATTTTTATATAACCGAAAATTAACTTCACAACATTTTTATTTGTTCGAATTTTAATTTGTCAGAATTTTTATTTGCTCTAATTTTCATTGAACATAATAGGCATTTTAAACAATTTTTATTGGGTATTTCACAATTTTCATTGTATAAAATTTTCT